ACTTATAGAAGGGAGAAAAGAGCTTTATCAATATATTAAGGAGACTTACCGTATTATAACACCGGCCTTATTTACGATTACCGTGTTCTTCGAGTTATCGTAAAGTAAACAAAAAAATTTTAAATTTTCCGAAGCGTTGCTTATTTCGAAAGAATACAGTATTTCTATGCTAAAGTGCTTTAAAAGTAGAGACAACCATTACTATATTGATATTGAAATTCATAGTGTATAACAATGTTTAGTTTATTCGTTTATTAAGCATAACAAAAAACGGTTTAATGTAAATAATTAATATATTAAACTGTACTTAAGTGTTTTTACACTAACAAACTCCATTCTAATACTAGTTGCATATATTAATATTCAGTAAAACTGACAATAATACCTCAGTAAATTTTTCTCTAGCTTAGAAAAGACAATCTTTATGCATTGATACTGTGTTTTTACGACAGCAAACGTATATTTTATGTTTAAATTTATTCCAGATATTATTACGTCTACTCAAAATTGGTCTACTGTAAATTACGTGTTTTGATATTAATATAAAACACTAGACTCATACTAATACAGAAAGATTTGTGCTGGATCAATTTAATAACTCTCGTTATAAGCGTTTTTTATGCAAGAGAGTGTCTGTCATCAGACTCGACTTTCTCATAACACGTTTACTTGAGTACCAAATTTTAATTATTAATTAAAATTTTTCTCAAATCGTGCACGATTACATTTCGGAATTGTTGTATGTCAGATCGGAATTTTATGTCGCTTCCAAACTGACATACGACAATATATTATTCAATAAAACATTGTCATATTTATTGCTAATTTTCTATTTTTTCATCTGACACATGTCAATTTGGAAGCGACATAAAATTCTGATCTGACATATATCACTTCGGAATTGACATAAATTCCGATCTGACATACAACAGAATCGACCATTTACTGATGGAAAAGTTTTGAATGTCTACTTCTGCATGCATTTACTACCAAAGCGTCCACCTTCTTACAGTAATAATTAAAGACATTGACAATTAGTCTTGTTTTTTGCATAATATCAATAAATAAGAATAAATTGTCAAATTGTCACATGATTTTTTATTGCAGATCGAAGGATTTTCCCGGCAATGTCAGATTCAGCTTGTAGTGTTTGTTAAAAGCTGGTTAAATTTGTGAATTATATACTCTCATAGTAGACATTGTTTATTTGTGCCATTTCATAGAGCTTATCATTTGCCTACAATTTGGGCAAGATTTTAAGATAATACGTGACTTAACTTTGCCAAAAGTCATATGATATAGTGACACGCATAAAAAGCGTGAATGCATGTAATTTTTTTTCTACCGATACTTTGTTGCCGACCTTGTTATACATTATCATTACACAGCCTGTGTATGCATAATAAGCAAATTAAATTCGATACCCTTATTTACTGTATTTAAAAATACGGCCGATATTTAACCGACTTACCTAGATACCGTCTAACTCTTGGGGTCGACCCTTGCGTAAATGGGAGCTCCATAACTAAATATAAATTCGTTTATTTTGGAAAAAACAATAGCGCTAATTGGATTGGTGCAAATCCTCACAGTGATCGTACGATACATGCGATCACCTGACAATTCTGCCTTTCAAGTCTTTATATTATAACTTACACAATACCGACAAAGGTACAGTGTCGGTTACAGTATAGCTACGATAACTATCTGGTTACAAAAAGTATATTAGATTACATGATGGGTGGTGATGGTGTTTATCCAACTTGTGGAAATAGGTTTAGCACCTTATCATTAATATTAATGGTTTAGTTCTTGTACTCAAAAGGTTTTGCTACAACATCGACCTGAAATATCGATTGTCCGGGAAAGCAGGAGAACTCCCCCGAAAAAGGGGGTAGATGTCGACAGAACTTCTATTGGTTCCCCCGTTCAAAATCAATCCAAATTAAGACATAAACGCTGGACCTGCATGGTAGTTCGATCAAGGAATATCACGTGATACAGCCCGTGTGTTATACGCCATTATGCATTCTAAGCCGTTACTCCGACAAGCCTCCACCTATTGTGGGCCTATTGTTGTCGGTATTGTGGAAAGTCATATGTATTGAATGACATATTGGATGATATCATCACACATTTCTTTCTTTTCCACTATAAAGACGTGATAGAACTAACGCATAAGGAAGCGATGTAAGCTTGCATTGCTGTGCAGGCCCGTGAATGAATGATCTGGGGTCTTTGTCATACAGTTATTAAATAATCGATACACATTCGATAATTGGTTATGATCTTCATTCATTCAGGTCCGATCACCAGTTTATCCGTAAAATTTTTTACAATAACTGTTAGTGGAAGATATCGAACATGGTTAATATTTAGTAGCGCGAGACGGTTAAACTTAGTAACAATAATGTCGGATGTAGACTGTGAGTTTTGTATTCGCTCGCAATGTCGTTTACTTGAGACTCATTTTCATTATGCAGGATAGGATATTAATATATGGGGCATGGCATGGCGCACGCAACAAAATTCAGACAAAGTAACACCAAAAAATAATGGCATATTTTCACACAAATAAAGTTATTACTATACCATATATTACGATGTGTAAAGATACATGGTTCTTTTTTCTTATCGGCGATAATGGCGTGATAGTACTGGTTCGGATCACGATGGCCCGCGGCTTGGAACAGTAGAGATATGCGAATAGGCAAACACAAACCAAATGATGCGATTGCCCCCAGTGCTTGAGAAAATTTTTGTCATTTTGGCATATGTTCTGGATCCGTTGTGGCAATGGTTCGTTTTATGTCCAACTTAGGTCGTAATTTAGCCTGTGTGAGTTCCACCGCCGTTACGCACAGGTGCGCTTTGTCATCGGGGCAAGAAGTGGGTCGTCAATGATAGATCCGTTTGAAGTCCGCTTTTGTAAGCGACTCATATAGTCGTAACGACACCAGGCATAATAACGGATTTGATGAGATCGTGCTGCCCGACGCGTATATTGCCATTGAAGATTGTTTATTGGTGCTTTGGTGAGACCGATGCCATTACGATAATTTCTTCGTAATCCGATCCGTACTGCATAATATCTTTCTCTACGGTGTCATTCATGACCTTTGGACACAGTGGCTGCTGCCTGCTTGAAAACTTCCGGTGCTTTGTGTAATTTGTGAGGTCATATTGTTCTCCGTCTAGGATGCGGTTCTTAGTCTCATGTGCAGATAAAAATAATTGATTTTTAAAGTTAAATTACGTTGTTGTCGTATCGTTTTAAAGCGAGACAATGCCAATAATGAATCTTCGTTGAGTGACGTCAAATGTTTGCTCTGTCTGGTTTTTTTGCAGAATGAATTTTGAAAAGGTTGCGTGTTAACATTAAATACGTCATGACCGCTTTCTAAATGACTCCAGCTAGGATCCGTCATCACATTTTCAGAGTCACATCGAAGAGTATTAAATATCTCTCCAGTTGACACGCTATGTCATGGGCACATTGGTTAAACGAAAGCGATGTGAATTGATAAACAGTCGATAATAACTCGTTTCCTTTAACACTGTCAATGTTATCTGTCCCATCAACTATCTCACTATAGTGTTAATTAATACGCAGTTTCCACGTGAGTTTGATTTTTGTAACGATTACGTAACGAGTTTACGGTTTGACGAATGTTTACGCCATACCCTTACTAAAAAATACAATTGGAATTTCCTAAATTAATGCCAAGTCTCAACATTATGACTATAACGTAGCCAAGGATAACTCAAATCGTACAAGTACATTAGCAAAGGCCAAGTTTGTGTAAAATGTTATTTAAACTGTTTGGAATATACTCTCTCGTTAGTTTTATGTTAATTGCACAGTATATTTGATAATGAAAAAAAATAGCTCGAATAAATAAAGAGGTGCGACGGCGTTCTATAAGAAAAAGTAATTGCGCAGATTGTACATTTACGTCTGAAACAGGATCCCATCTAATCTGCTATCTTGTTCATATGAAAATGATTGTTCCTCAATTACGCCATCTGAATAAACTTGTCGAGTCGGACGCCCATTGTATTGTTATTTAAGGAAATTGGTAATCTTATGTACAAACCTATAATAAATACTTAATAACTACAAAATAATAACCGAATATTTATTATTTACATTATCTACGAGCAGTCAGAGCCATAAGCTAAAAATGGAATAATAACAAACAAAAACTGCTTGCCAATGCACGTGATATCCAATTCCGATTGCTTTACTTTGCTAGTTCAATTTTACCATACCATACTAAACATTATAACGCAGTAGCGTTTAGAAGAACCATCCACAGTCTAATCGGGTTAACAAATGACGCCTATAATTATTGTCATTTAAAGGGTTAAGAACTTCTTCGGAGATTACTTGCGGATTGCCGACTCGCATTGACATGTTTACTTGTGTTCCACACAAACATAGTTCAACCCAGTCCGTTATTCCGTGCCAACTATAGTGTTTTATAGCAACACAATTACATCATTAAAATGGTCGTCAATAATTGACTTTCCATATCAATATCTTTACGCCACTATGAGAATAACGAATTCTAGTTTATAGCATCTTGCCATTTCAATTTATTGCACAATTCATGGTGCTCTCATTCACGAAAGTTCAATAATAGATAATTCACAATGTCCATAGACATCTCTTTCAATTCAATATCGACGCCAAGACTGTCACGTGATATAACTCATACAACAGAAATACCATAATAATAAAGCCCAAAAAAAGCCAGATAAAAATACAAACGAATTCCTAAACTACACAAGAGTCCATAATATCTCTAGATCTCTAATGTTGATCTACCAAAGCAAATGATAAAGTAAAAAAAAAATAAACTAAAACAAAAAAGAATCTGTACACTTTATGTAAATAGAGATATATAATAATAATACAATGAGAATGTCCTGCATTACCATAATTTCCATATCACATGACTTCAAGTCGCCAATCTTCCTCCATAGTCCCTCTTCTCTTACTCCCAGCGCTTCAACAACTCGACAAATTCGTCCTTCATTCGTCTGACAACACGTCTGACCTCATCCTCTCTTTGTCTCACAACGTTTTCAAGCATATCGATCCTTTTCTGTCTATCCTCCAATAATGTCACCGCTCTAACCAATCTTTCCTGAAATACAATAACAAGTTCTTTTGCATCCCCGCTCGCAGGGGGCAAGAGTAGCTCACTGTATGAAATTTGAGGAAGTGGAGACATGGCGCTTAAAGGATTTAGTGGATTGCTCGGGCCCATAGTCATTGAATTTATATTCGATAATGTGTGTCCTGCCATATTTGAAATGTTGACGTTATTGTTTGTGTTTTGATTAGCGTTGCGTGATTCGTCCGGCCAGCAGTCGTTGGAGGAATTCTTTCTAGATTGCTGTGGAGTGGGCTGAGCGGTTGTTTTCAAACGAAATATGTCATAATGTCCACCACCAAAGTCTAGCGTTTTTCGGCGTTTCTGTATGAAAGATAATGGGGGGGGGGGGGGGGGGGGTAAATTGTCGGTTAGCTACATGGTTAAATGAATGCAAGTGGTAATAATGGTAGATCGGAAGGGTGAGGAGGATGATTATTCGGGACGGGGGATCTCTCAGGTGGTGCAGGATAATAGATTCCATAGATATCTCTAACATTATGTTTCTCTTATCAATTTCGACCAACCAACTAATAAATCATCAATGCACCGTCAGCCCGTGCAATGAACTTTAGAGGGTGTAGATCGAGAAGAGTAACTAATGATATAATTGATGTCACGTAGTTGCCGCCACCTACCGATGTATTTCGCCAGCGTATCTGAGTACCGCTTGCGGATGATCGATTAGTAGGGTGCTGTTTATAATTATCATGTCTTGTGTCAGGTAATGCTGTCGGGGAGGGTGTTGGAGTTGGAATGGACGGATGCTGGAGGGGAGGGGTAAGATGTGGTGCGGTAGGATTTTGAGCGCGTGGACGTTGACTTGACAGGTTCAATGACGGTCCAGTATGCAAGTTCTCTACACTCCTCACATGTACATATCTCTGTCCACCATTCACATTAGAAGTGGAAGGTCCACCTCTTCCGTTCCCCAACTGCAAAATGTCTCTTCCCGGTGCAGGAACACCAGGCTGATACCCCCTAAACCCTTCCTCCCTATTTATCACCCTATTACCACTAATCATTTCATTATCAATCTCATCTTCCAGCGTATAATCATCCTCATCCTCATCCTTGACCCATCTAGGCCCTACACCTACTTGCACAAGACTCTTTCTACGAACAATTCGTACACCAGTGTTATCAACTTGGTCTGCAACATCTGATAGATCATCTTCCTCGCCGGCCGAAAATGTTACCTTCTGACGTTTTGATGGGGGTGGAGATAATTGCGAATTTGGCGTGGTACCAGGAAGAGTATTCCGACGGACATATCGGCGTTTCTTGCGTTTGCTATTGGCACGTTTTATTAATTTGAGAACCAAGTCAGAATCGTCTAACTCGTTGTCTTCTGGGTCTTCGTAGCCAGTCGGGTTTTGAGAGGGGTGGGCGTAGTAATCATTTGGTTTTGATAAGACATAGTCGAAAAATGCGTCCAAGTGAATGCTTCGCATCCATTTCTAAAAAAAAAATATTGATAGCAAAAAGGGGTGTTTAGGGGGGGGGGAAATGTATGTATATTTTTTTAGTACTGGAAATTACTTATTGTATTACTCAGTATTTGCTTTTTTAATTACTATTATTAGCCGCTTATATAGATTAGTTTCGATTGTTACTGTTACACAATTCAACATTGCAAGTGACACAAAGACAAGTCGATCACTCCGAGACAAACCTTCAATCTCACTGCATATTGTTGTATCTTCTGAGGACTCGACTCTTCGTTTCTCTCAACACCCAGCTGTTGAGCCAACTTGGTCCACGTCTTAATCTCGCCGGATTCATGCTTGGCAACCAACTGGTATAAATGCCACGGTGAAAATTGTTTTCCGTCCGACTTTGGTACGGCGAAGAAAGCTCTGAGTAGAGATGTCATGTCAGTCTCCAATGGTGCAGATGGATTACAGTAAAAGATGAATTCGATATATCGCTGAGCGATATTTGCTTCTGTTATGGTGCGTTCAGGGAGAGAGCGAGAAGTCGGTTTGGTGTATGTGGGAAGAGAAGAATTCGAGGGGTTTGTGGGAGAAGCTGGAGCCGGCTGATGAGTCGAGTTGGATGTGGGAGAAATGGGTGGGGAATGAGCCGTTTCGTGAGGATTCGAGTAATCAGCGGAGGATAGGGCTATCGGATTTGTGTTTTCTGCATCTGTGGGAGATGCATTTTCAATAGCTGTATTAACAACACTATCATCGGTAACGGTAGCAATCGTTGTTATTTCTTCATC